AAAGGAAGACAGTGACCTTGAAAAGAGGGTTCTGGGGACCAAGAGATGGCATAATGGTTATATCAACTGCCACATAGTTGACCATGGTTTGAGTCCCAGATATAGCAACTTAAACCTCACCAGGGACGTGTGCGTGCATATCTAAGATCCCAAGAGGAAAAAGGAGAAGGGACTGTGGTATGGCATCTCCCCCAGGGGGGCAGGGGGGAGGGTGTGATTTCTTGCTGTCTCTGGCGAGCACACACGCCCTATACAAAAAAATCTCTAAAAAAAATAAAGAAAAAGAAAAGGGGGCTCTGTTAACTTAAGCAGGAATATATCACTTTCCTTCCTGATATTGAATAGATCCTCTTAGTTGATGGTGGTGGTAAGTTCTTTCCTATCAACCTATGTATATCACTATCTCTGAAGTAAGTTTCTCGTAGACAGGACAGTCTTGTAGATAATTTACTGATTTGTTACTCTGTCCTCTCCAACTGCTATTGGGCCCATCTACTTAAGTTTTAAATTTTTTTCTTTTTTTTTTGTATTTTTTGACTGTGATGTACCCATTCCCTGCTGAAGGATGTTTCTTCTCATTCTGGCCAGAAGATGAGCCCTTTGACAATTAAGAAAAAAAAATACTTGTCAGATAATTCTAACATTTGTATCTTCTTGGTGTTGACATCTATTGATTTTACTTTCTTATTCACTTTGAGATCTTCCTGATTCTTGGTGAGATAAGTGATTTTCAATGGAAATCTGGACATTCTGAGTACTGTAAGAATATGGAACTTATTTGATTCTATCAATTTTTTTTCTCTTTTTTCAGTGTTTGCCAAAGGACATGTGGTCTTGCTGGAGAGGGACAGAAAGAGAAAGAAAGAAACTAAGAAACTGGAAAACACTCCCCCTTAAGGGGTGGATTGTGGTCATACCATAATCCCTTCTTGCTCCATTTCTTCCTCCTTTTGAGACTCTGGGCAGGCATGCACACACGCCCAGTATATTTCTCAAGCCACTGAGTCCAGGACTTGAACTGTGCAGTTGACCATGTAAGAAAAAATCCAGCTCACTCAATCACCAGGCCAGAGGCTGGCCCAATTCTTATGTTTTAGCAGGCTTCTTCCGGCACCGTAACCCAGTGGGTGTCAGGTAAGTTTGCTACTAGGACTCCACTAATACTGAGGTGCAGGGGCTCCTTGTTACTGATGGGTGAGAATGGGAGATTCCCTAACTGGCCTCCAGTGATTCCATCTCCTCTACAGGGAAGGAGTTACTTGGTATCCCTGAAGACAGAGTACACGTCCAGGCTCTATACTTTAATTAATTACCTTACGGTCATTGTGACTTCAAAATTATTCTTCACCTTTACCTGCTTTCACCTCTGCTGTATTGTTAGCACCAAATATATCCTCCTTTAAAACTCTCAGTGCCCTTAGATTTCACACCACTTTCTGGATTTCTTCTTTCTTCCCAAATACTTTCAAACATTATATGAAAGTATAATGGTTCATTTGTTTCCTTGTCTATTTCTTAAAATATCTACTCTACAGGGTCTGTCCTCAAAGCTCTTTTTCTCATTCTATAATATATCCCTATCTAAGCAATTTGATTCATTCTCATAATTAAACAACCACTTACAAAGTAAAGCTTCTTAAATATACGTATCTCCAGAACCTCTAGAGTCCTATATTCAAATTGTTAGTTGTTTCAGACATCTAAAAGAGAACTCACCCCCCTTCCCCACACAAATCTCTCCTGTTTCTGCATTTACTGCTTCAGTTAGTGCCAAAATCAAGTAGCAGATCTTATGAGTCAGAAAACTAGGCGTTATCTGCCAATTATTTCTCTCCTTCTTAACATATATTTCATCAGTCCTGGGGTTCTGCTAATTATACACCCTAAATGACTCTTGTAAAATGCCTCACCATTTCCTCTTCACTCCAACTCTTGTACAATACCTTAATTAGGTTTCTTAAGTCACATTAAATTCCCACCATCTCTCATCAAAACTTCTACAATGCACATGCCTGTCAAAATGGTTTTAAGGAAATTTAATTATAACGCCATTTTTTGATTAAAATTTTACTATTTCTAACAATTCCACAACCCCAGACTATAGGTTGTAACCACTAGCACTTTAATACCAATTCACCAGATTTCAAAACAAGATTTTTAAAAATTTGCTTTATGACATAATATTGAAATAAACTAGAAAATATGAGAACACACTGGCTATATTAATGCTAAGTTCTGTTTCAGTTCATATGTTTAAGCATGCATAAACACTGCATCTAGATGCACATGCATCTACATGTTGATACAAACTCTTCTAGGAAAGCTTTCTAGTCCTTCACATCTCCCAATACTCAAAGAAAATGAAGCATCAGAAGATTCCTCATGGTTTCTGCGAAGTAGTCATTTCAGGGTAAAAGATAAATGAAAAATTCTTACTGATAATTCAGCCTCCAGCAAACAAGCTAGCGTGGCAGGAGAGGCGAGGCCTTCAGCAGAAGATTCCTCATGGCTCGTGCGAAGTAGTCACTTCAGGGTAAAAGAAATGAAGAGTTCCTACTGGTAATTCAGCCTCCAGTAAACAAGCTAGCGTGATGACTAGAAATCACCACAGGACCACAAGAAATATGGGAAAGCAAGAAAATACCTCTCCTCCAAGGGAAAAGAATAACTCCTCTTCATCCACAAGCAGTTCAATGCAAATCATGAAAATGTCTGATAAAGAATTTAGGGTATTCATAATGGCGAAGCTAACTGAGATGGAAGAGAAGAGAGACAATGAATTGCTAACGAGAAAGGAGAAAGAAGTTGATGAGTTCCAGGAGGTGAGGAAATTCTTGCAAGATCTAAAAGAGGAATTAAATACTTTAAAAAAGAATCAAATGGAACTGTTAGAGATGAAGGCTATAATACAGGAAGTCAAAATCTCCCTTGAAAGTATTAAAAGCAGACTAGATTATACAGAAAACAGAATCTCAGACATCGAAGAGAAAATTGTTGGCCTAGAAAAATCCACTGTGGAGACTGAGAAAAATGTCCCAAAATTTGAGAATAATATACAAGAAGTACTAGATACCATCAAACGTCCAAACATCTGGATAATTGGCATTCCAGAAGGTGAAGAGACCCATAAGGGCATTGATAATCTATTCCATGAAATCCTGCAAGAAAACTTTCCAAACCTAGA